GCATGACAGGGCAGGAGCTATGTTCGTAGGCCCTCTTGGCTCGCGAGGAGCCAATAACATCATCAATCCAGCTACATCTTCTCTAGTACCGCCATCGTCGGTCGATCTCTCCTCCCCCCTCCCCCTCCTCCTCCTCCTGCAGGAAACCCTGTGTACTTGTTGTTTTGTTTGTGTTGTTTTTTTATTTTGCAAGCCCGAATGCTCGCGCTGGCCTTCCTCTCAGCACCCTTCCATGCGCCTCAGACCAAGAAAACCAAACATACACAATGTTTCGCGCCTTCTACGCAAGGAAACCGTGTTTGTTTGTTGTTGTTGTTTTTTTGGGGGGAGGGTCTGAAGCACGGAAACACTGCATAGGTTTTCTGGTGGTTTTGCAAGCCCCACGGGTGCCGGGAGGGAGGCCAGTGCGAGCGTCGGGGCTTGCAAACTAGAAAACAACGAACAAAAACAACACAAGGTTCCGTTGTTTCTCGGATCCAACAAAAAAACAGGTGTCCTTGCACCAGAGGCGCCACACCCTGCGTATTATTACTTCCCCCCTTTTCCTCCGTTCCTTCCCTCTTCCTTGCTGCAAAGCCAAAAATAACAAGAATACGCAGTGTTTTGTGCCTTTGGTGCAAGGAAACGCTGTGTATGTTTGGTTTGTCTGTTTTTTGGTTGGGTTGGGATGCAAGGAAGCACTGTGTATTTTTGGTGATTTTCTTTTCTCTTGGCTTTGGAAGCTCAAGTGCTCCCCGCGGCCTCCCCCCCAAGCACCTCCTCCTTCTCCCCCTCCCTCTTTCCATATCCTTCTCCTCCTTTCCTTCCCCCCTCCTTGTTGCAAAGCAACACAGTGTTGGGGGCCCTTGGTGCAAGGAAGTGCTGTGTATTCTTGTGTTCCTGGTTTTTTGGGTCTAGGACGCAAGGAAACACCTGATGTATGTTTGGATAGTTTTTTTTTTTGTTTGGGAGCCCCGGACAAGGAGGAGGAGGAGGTGCTGGGGGGAGGCAGCGGGGATCACTTGAGCTTCCCAAGCCCAAAAAACCCAAATCACCAAACATACACAGTGTTTCCTTGCACTCCAGATAAAAAAACAGAACAACCAAAAGTACAAAGCTTTTTCTTGCACCAAGGGCGCCAGACATTGTGTATGATTGGTTTTCTTGCTTTGCAACAAGGAGGAAGAAACAAAAAGGAGGAGAAGGACGGGAGAAGAGGAATGGGGGAGAAGGAGGAGGCGCTGGGGGGGAGGCCGCGGGGAGCACTTGAGCTTCAAAAAATAACAGTGCTTCCTTGCATACTAGGCCCCTCAAAGACAGAATAACCAAACATACACAGCGTTTCCTTGCTTCGAGGGCGCCAAACACTGTGTATTCTTGGTTTTCTTGTTTTCCAGAAAGGAGGAGGAAAAGAAAGTAGGAGAACGAGGGGGGGAGAGGAATGGGGGAGAAGGAGGAGGTGCTGGGGAGGAGGCCGCGGGGAGCACTTGAGCTTCCCAAGCCCAAATAACCAACATAAACAGTGTTTCCTTGCATCCTAGGCCAAACAAAAAAAGAAGAACAACCAAACATACACAGCGTGTCCTTGCTCCGAGGGCGCCAAATTCTAATCACCGTATGACAGTCGATGGTAAGAGAGGGATGCGGACGAACAGTGGGAAGCAGATGAGGGGCACGATGAAAGAAGAGAAGGGGGAGATGAATAAGAGGATGATGAACGGGAATACGATTCAAGATACAATGTATGATCTTGGGGGGGGGGGCAACCATACACACACATATATCTATATATATACATACCTGTACGACCACCCTTCGGGTGATAAGGAGGTTTGGGGGGGACTAACGTCTCATTCGATCGATCTCACGATCGATCTTACTATCGATCTCACTATCGGTCTCGCTCGATCGATCTCACTTGATCGATCTCACAATCGATCTCACTCGATCTAGTTCATACGATCGATCTCACGATCGATCTGACTATCGATCTCACAATCGATCTCACCATTCACCTCACTCTCGATCTCACAATCGTTATCACATCGGTCTCACTGTCGATCTCACTATCGATACCACAATCGATCTCACAGTCAACGTCATCATCATCAACATCATCGTCATCAGCGTCATCAACATCATCATCACTGGGACACCATCACCATCACCTCATCACCATCACCAACGTCATCATCATCATCACCATCATCATCATCATCATCGGGACACCATCGTCGTCACCATCATCATCATCATCAATATCATCATCATCATCGGGGCACCATCACCATCATCAGCATCGGAACACCACCATCATCCTGATCATCTCATCAACATCATGAACAACATCATCAACATCATCATCCTCGGGACACCACCATCACCATCATCAGCAACATCATCATCATCAACATCACCATCATTGGGACACGATCATCATCGTCACCATCATCAGCATCACCATCATCATCATCGGGACACCATCATCAACACCAGCACCATCATGGGGCCACCATCAACATCATCAGGGTCATCAACATCATCATCATTTGGGACACCATCATCATCATCATCATCAGTAACATCAGAATCACCAACATAATCACCATCGAGACACCATAATTATTACCACCATGGCCAGCATGATCACCATCATCATCAACATCGTCAACATCATCATCATCATCATCATTATCATCATCAACATCATCATCATCATCATCATCGGGGCACCATCATCATCACCACCATCACCATCATCATCATCAACATCATCGACATCACCATCATCATCAACATCATCGACATCATAATCATCATCAGCATCATCATCATCATCATCATCATCATCATCATCATCATCATCATCATCATCATCATCGGGACACCGACGGGACACTGGCGGGACACCGGCGGGACACCGCGCGGCACCGGCCCCCGGAAAGGAAACATTTGGTCCGGCCGCGCCTCAGCCGGAGGCAGGACACCGGCGGGACACCGCGCGGCACCGGCCCCCGGAGAGGAATCATTTGGTCCGGCCGCGCCTCAGCCGGAGGAGATTTTCTTCTCTCCCGCCCACGCAGTTTTGCCTCGCCCGCACGCACGGCACGCACGAACACGAAACCGAAACCGATTTCCCGGTAGGGGGGCTCTCCGTTCCATTTCGATCTCACCCCCTCACCTCCGATGTATGATGTATGTATGTATGTATGTATGAATGTACGTACTTACGTACGTACGTACGTACGTACGTACGTACGTATGTATGTATGTATGTATGTATGTATGTATGTGTGTGTATGTATGTATGTATGTATGTATGTATGTATGTATGTATGTATGTGTGTGTGTGTGTGTATGTAGGTAGGTAGGTAGGTAGGTAGGTAGGTAGGTAGGTAGGTAGGTAGGTATGTATGTATGTATGTATGTATGTATGTATGTATATTTATATATGCATACACACGTACATATACATATATATATATATATACATATACACATATGTGTAAATGTATATGTATATATTGGTGTACAGTTATACATATCAGAGTAGGCCAGGGGGCGGGGCTGGGCCGCGGACTGTACCCCCCATGGGCGCCCCCTGGGGGTTTTTGGGGGGCCCGAGAGCTCCCGAGACGGCCCGGTCCCGCCCCGCAAAGGCTTAAGAGGGCCCAAGACAGTCCCAAGAGGCCCCGAAGACGCCCAAGATGCCCTCAAAACGGCCGACGATGACTCCAACGCGCTCCAGGACGGGCTCAGGAGGCTCCCCAAGAGGACCATCATGGGAGGCAAATTCATTCATTTTCCGATAGTTTTTGAAGGATGTGGGCGTTCTCGCTTTTCCCGCTTTCCAGCGCTCACTCACGGCCTCGGAGGCCCTTCAGATCGCTCCAAGACGGCCGACGAGGCCCCGAAGAGGGCCCCAAGACGGCCCACGAGGCTCCCAGACAACCCAATTGTGCCCCAAGAGCGCCCCAAGAGGGGGCCCGGAGGGGGACCGCGAAGCGATATTTCGAGGTCTCTGGCCCTAGAGGCCCCCAGTAGGCCCCCGGAGGCCACCAAGACGCTCCCACGAAGCCCTGTGAGGCTCCCAAGAGGCCCCCAGGAAGCCCCAAGAGGCCCCCAAGGGGCCCGCAGGGAACACCCAAGAGGCCCCCCAACACACCCCAACAATCATACCCCCAGAAAGCCTTCCGGGGACCTGTTTCATTATGGGCCCGAGAGTCTCCACAGAGGCTCCGAAGTACCATCGCGCTACCGTAGGGAACATGACTGATCGCCTTTTCGCGGCCCTCCGCGGATCTTTTCGCAGAAAATTGACCAACGTGCTCTCTTGAACCGACGACGACGGCGACGACAACGACGAAGACGACGAAACGACGAAGGCATGGACGATGACGACGACGACGGCGCGCCCCAAGAGGCGACGACGACATTACGACGACGACGACATTACGACGACGACGACGACGACGACGACGACGACGACGACGACGACGACGACGACGACGGCGACGGCGACGGCGACGGCGACGGCGACGGCGACGGCGACGGCGACGGCGACGGCGACGACGACGACGACAACGACACGCCCCAACAGGCTAGGCTTCCCAAAACCCGTGTTCCAAGAAGGCCTTCTGGGAAGCTGATTCAACAGGCCTCCGCCCTCCCACGCAACCATCTTCCCCGAAAGCCTTCCGGAATGCGGATTGACATGCGCGGATTTCTCATTGCCCATCATCCGTTGAGCGTTATGGGGATTTCTTCACTTCCCGTTCAAACCATTTGTGGTCTGCTACTTCAGTGGAGCACTGAACTCGTCAAGGCCTGGGGCCTGCTAGAACCTGAGCGCGCGCGAAGCGCGCGCGATGGTTTCAAGTAATTATATATATATACACATAAACGTACATACACATCGGCGACGTATTGCAGATTCGAGGTCGACGCGTCCAATTCCCGAGCCGAGCCAGACCCCCCCGTATCGCTGCCGCTTCAAGAGGGGCGCTTCCCCCGCCCACCGCAGCCACTTTGGCCCAGGGGGTGGCCGAGAGACCCCCCCGCCCCCTCCCCGATGGCATGGCCCACGGCGGGCGCTCGCCGTCCCCATCGGGTGCCGAGAGCTCGGTGCCCTGGCTCCCGCCGCCCCACCTCCTCCTTGGGCGGCCGGGGAGGAAGGGCCTGGGCTCGAGGGGAAGGGGGCCCTCACGGGTTTAGGTCTTCCAGCTCCGACCAGGGGATCGCAGCCTTCTTATAGAAGCCTCCAGGCCTTTCTAAGAAGCCTCTTGCCTTCCAAGACGCTCTCCTCGCTTCCTCAGAGGGCCAAAACCCGCTCGCGCCAATCCATGGTGCGCGCCGCCACAGGACGCTATGCAGGTTAGACGACCGGTCCTGGGAGAGGAGGCGGAGGGGGAAGGAGAGGGAAAACGGACAGGGAGGAGGAAGAGGAGGAGGAGGAGGAAGAAGAGGCGGAGGAGGCGGAGGAGGAGGAAGAGGAGGAGGAGCGGGGAAGTTCCCTGGAGGTCCAGGACCCGCTGTCCTCCAGGCCTCCCAACAGGGGCTGGGCCGGATGGGGTCGGAGGACCGCGCCGCATCCATCGCCGATTCATCGCGCCGCATCGCCGACTTGGAGCCCGACTTGCTTCACGCCGACGGCGCCGATGCCCCGAGATCTTGGTGCTGCAATTTCCACAACGGGCGATTTCGCCCAGCTTCGGGCCTGGGGACCCTCACAAATCGATCCGGCTCGAACAATGATTCAAAAAGATGGGGTCCAAGGCTCCGGTGGTTGTTATGTCCTTGCGATGTTGCATTTCTATTTTCAACGTCAGATCTGAGTGTGCATTTCCGACGTCGCCGATGCGTCGGCGATGTGGCGGGATCCTCCGACCCTATTTACTGGGACCCCATTTTGGAGGCCCCTATTCCCTCCTCCCTCGGAAGACTGTAATCGGTACGGCAACAACGGGCACATAGTCCAACATCAGTTCAGATTCATTCTGACCCAGATTCGTTGTCGGCGTCGCCGCGGGCGTTGTCCGTTTGAGATGCAGACTCGCCTGCCGAACAGCGGCCGCTGTCGGTTTTGGACAGCATCTGCTGTTGGGCATCGCACCCATTTTTCTACACCCGTTTCGGGTCTCCAAGATCTTTCTCTCGTGCACAGGGGGTAGGTGGGCGTTGTGTTAAGTCGGGCCTGTCCCTCTACAGGGGGACTATTCAAATTATTTTTAGAAAATAGTCTGGGGACTATTTGTTGAATAGTGTTTGGCCGTTTGGGAGTATGTTTTGAGACATAATCTCCCTGTAGGGGGACACGCCCAACTTCAGCGTTGTGAGTCGGGGACGAGCGCCGCCCTCGGCACCGCGCCGTTTCGCCCGCGGACCGCCTCTCTGCGCTGCTGCGGCCTGCGGCTGCTGCAGCTCCTGGCGCCCGCGGCCTGCGCGCTCCTGGGGCTCGCGGCCCTGCTGCCGCCGCTGACGGGCTACGAGCTGCGGGCCGTGCCGGCTGGCGGCGCCGCCGCCGCCGGCGATCGGGGGGCTTTGGTTTGTGTTCGGGTTCGATGTTCGAGGTTTTCGACTGTGGTCGTCTGTCCTCGGAGGTTCTCCAGCCTCGGGGCCCCCTCCAGCAGCTGCGCCTCGCCGGCGGCGTTCCAGGGGTTTCTGGGTCGTCCCGAACGGCCGCCGTAGGCTCGAGTTCCGGCCCGACGACCACGGGGGACGGGGACGGGCTCGGGGGGGGAGGGATCGACCCCGAAGTCGCCCCTTGATCGCCGATAGGGGCCCGATAGCCCACCCCTCCCAGGAACGTGCAGGTTCGCCATCGGAGGCCTGCCGCTGATCTATTCGATGTTTCCCCCTCCGTGCCAGTCCCCCACATCGGTCGCCCCTGAAGGGCGGGGAGGGAGCGAGTGGAAGAGGAGGAGGAGGAGGAGGAGGAGGAGGAGGAGGAGGAGGAGGAGACGGAGGAGGAAGATGAGAGGAGGAGGGGGAGGGGAGGAGAAGGAGGGGGAGGGAGAGGGTGGAGGGAGGAGGGAGGAGGGAGGAGGAAGGGGGAGGAGAGGGGAGAGAGAGGAGAGGAAAGATGAGAGGGTGGGGAGGAGGAGGAGGAGGAGGAGGAGGAGGAGGAGGAGGAGAAGGAGAAGGGAAGACGGCTCTAGCTATGTGTGCGAGGAGGAGGAGCAGCAGCAGGAGGAGATGAAGGATGAGAAGGGAGGAGGAGACTGAGGAGGAGAATGATGAGGAGGAGGAGGAGGAGGAGGAGGGAGGAGGAGGAGGACGAGGAGGAGGAGGAGGAGGAGGAGGGAGAGGAGGAGGAGGATGGGGAGGAGTTGGAGGAGGGGGAGGAGCAGGAGGGTCGACGTTTCCCCTCCCCCCCCCTGTGCCAGTCCCACCACGTCGCTGCCCCTCAGGCGAGCTGAGCCTGCTGCCGCTGCTGGCGGGCTTCAGCGAACCTGGTGCCCGGGAGGGTGCCGACCCCGCGGACCCGGGCGGGACACAGAGGAAGTTTACCGACACCGCTGCTTGGCCTGACGAGGTCGAGTAGGAGGTCGACTTCATAATTTATGTACCCCAAACTTGATCTCCCCCCAGACAATGATGGCATTTAGAGACGTTCTTATTTGTGCTCTATTATACTGGGCCGTGTGGCCCATCTGACCGCTATGTATTCGCCGTCGTCTTCCAGACCGTGTGGCCAGTCTAGCGGCTATGCACTCGCCTTCGCCGCGCCGTCGCCGCTTCGTCGCCGCCCGTCGTCTGGGTTGGTGTGGCGGTCTGGCGGCTGTCGCCGTTGCCGCCCCGTCGCCGCCTCGGCGCCGCCCATCGCCGCAGTTGAATTGCACAACGCAGATTGCACGAGAAAGCAGTGCGCTTGCGGCGCTCTTTCCGATGGCTTACAGCGTAGGTTGCACCAAAGATGTTGCACAACATATGATATGTCACCACGTATATTGCACAACTTATATTGCACAACTGCAAATCTTGTGCATCTCATAGGTTGCACTGCGCAGGTTGCACCAAATATATTGCACAGCATGGGATGGACCACCTAGGTTGCACAACAGATACCGAACACATCATAGGCAACACCACATAGACAGCGCCGCAGATATTGCATCACCTACATTTCCTCACACATGTTGCCCAACATAGGTTGCAACACAGATACTGCACGAGCAAAACTTTCGCCTGTGGCACGCTTTCTGACCGCGCACAGCATGGAGCGCACCACCTACATCATGCAACATAGTTGGGATCCCATAGACTGCACAACAGTTTTTACCACATCGACTTCACCACACATGCTGTGCGCTGCATCTATTGCACAACATACATTGTACACTACACACCACAGATTGCATCAAACATTTTGCACCGTATAGCTTGCGCCACATAGATCTTATCACATAGATTGCCCAACATGTATTGTATCACATCGACTGCACCAACGTGCATTACATCACATGGTTGCACAACCTTCATTGCACATCGTAGACTGCGCGACAACAGCTGTACAACATAAATGGTACCACATAGATTTCGCTACATCTTCTCTCGACATATATTGCACCTTCTGGGTTGATTCACAGATCAGCACATGTATTGTTAGAATGGCACTGGTTGGGGTCCACGCGGGTTGATCTGTTCCGTCGAATCTTCAAACGAACGTAGAAACTCTGTAGATTTTTGATCAGCTTACACTTGTGTTGTATATTCCAGAAAATCTGTGGATAGATCAATTATTTTGCCGATCCCCTACGCGAGAGGAGGAACGAGTATCGACACCGCTGCTCGTCCTGGAGAGCCCATGTCACAAAGGCTGCATTCCAATACTCCCTCGGGCGATGACAAAGATCATGGCGAGAGGTGTTTCGCCATGTTCAGTCTCCCGGTGCCCTGTCAGGGCCTTTGGGCCGTCAACAAACTATTCATGATGAAAACCGGTCCCGGGGAAGGGGGCACACAGAATTAGGGGGCCATGTCGTGAAGATTTCGGGGAACAATTCATGACACATGTAAGTGTTATAGCACAGTTATATGTATGTGTATATATGCATACATATGGTTGTGTATCTGTGCGCGTGTGTACAGGATAAAACTATGAGGTCCGAGCGGTTTTCTTGGACCAGCGCTGGATCCCCCTCCCTGGCACGCGGAGCGCGCCAGGGGCGGCGCCAGAGGCGCTGCCAAGGGGCTCCAGTGCCCATCCAAGAAATCCGCGCGGACCTTCGAGTTTGCATGTTTATGTCACTGTCTGTTACCCGATGGAGAGTCAGAGCCCTCGTCACCACGGCTGCATTCGCCCCGAAGTTCAGGTCAGAATTCACCCCGGGAGAGTTTCGTGGGGTAGCGGTATTGGTAACCATTTTGTTGTCACCAGGAGTGGCACAGCAGAAACGAAAGAAGAAGTTCAGACAGAGGCGTTCGGAGGTCCGCGCGGATTGTTCGGATCGGTGCTGGACCTCCCTGGCGCGCCAGGGGTCTGGCGCCGATCCAGTCAATTCGCGCGGACCTCCGAAAGGTGATGCTCGGAAAAGCAGAAGACTCGAGTTCGCTGGAACTCGTGGTTGCCGAAGGTCTTTGACGGGCCCATGTTGAATCTTGACGGTCCAGTTTGCGTGGGATGTTTGCAGCAGGAGTTCGCGTCAGATTTTTTACTGGTCTCGTCGTTCTCCTGACGGCCCCGTCCCCGAAGGCGAGTCTTGCGTCTCCCCGATCTGTTAACGCAGCTCTTGTCTTATGAGATTCGAGGCCGGCTAGACCGGGAGATCCTCCATTTTGGCAAAGTAGGGAAAAGTACAAGTACGCGTATGGCACGATAGCACGAGTGTACAGTAAGCACGGATCGAAAGAACGAGCCAAGCGAGGTCCGCGAAACGCAAGTGTGATATTTGGCAACGCGGAAGTCTGGGTCTGAAAAGTATGAAGAAAGTGTGACAAAGTTCGAACGCGCATCCAAAGTGTGAAACAAGTGTTAGTAATTGTGAACAGTGTGGAAGATACGAAGTGTGAAACAAGTATGACGAAACTATCTCTCACACACTTTCGTCACACTTCGGAATTCTGAACATCTGTACTGCGTATTTCTGCACCGCACATGTCTTGCACTCCTACTTCGGCGTGTTTTTTTTTGCGAGCGGGATACCTTGCGTTCCTCTGGGGGGGGGGGTCCGGTGTAGCTGGCCAGAATCTGTCAGCTCCTGTGTCTCCTTCGGAGCCTGGCAGCCGCGAAAAACATTGTGGGCCATGTGGGAGGGGGGGAGGGGGAGGAGGAGGAGGAGGAGGAGGAGGAGGAGGAGGAGGAGGAGGAGAGGAGGAGGAGGAGGAGGAGGAGGAGGAGGAGGGGGAGAGTCACCCCGACATGCTCCTGACACGTGTGCTTCGGCCCTCGGGCCCGGGGCGACAGGCCCGGGGCGTGTGCTCGTCGGCTGTCGGCGCCTCCTGGCCACGCTGCCCGGGAGACGGCATCCTACCAGGTGCTGGGGCTCTCTGTTTGGTTCGGGCGTGTGCCTCCAAGGGGGGCGCAGAGTACCAGTTTTAAGTCGGGCCTGTCCCCCTACAGGGGGTTTTCGACGAATAATAAAAAATACTCCCAAACATAGTCAAAAATATTCAGAAAATAGTCTTGGGATTATTTTTGGAGTATTGTTTGACCCTTTTGGGGCATGTTTGGGGTATCTTTTATTTTTTGTCGAAAATCCCCCTGTAGGGGGACAGGCCCGATTTCATGCCAGCACGTCTCTCCGGTCCCATCGCGACAGGAGGGTGGGCCGCAGACGCTGCCGGCGGGCGTCGTCTTGGTCAACGACTCCGCGGCCGGCTCGGCGGGCTCTGATTCATCGGTCGCTGCTCGACGTCGAGTCGAGCGGCGGTCCGCCATGCGATCTGGATCGAACGGCCGATCGGACGTTCGATCGAAACTAATAGTGAAAGAATCTGCCGCCATGGCTGACAGCGGTCCTTTCAATGTTGAACAGGACTCGCAGTCGATGTGTGTGCGTCGCCGCAGAATGGCGTCGCCGCAGAATGCATATTTGTGACCAGAAGTCACTTGCCCAACAGCGGCCGCTGCCAGTTTGTGACAACATTTGTTGCTGGGCAGCGTGCCCCTTCTCTGGCACCCATTCTTCACGTGGCAAGATGGACGAGGGGGCGGAGGCGCGAGGATCAAGGTTGTTGTGCGTCCATTGGTCCTTTTCTGGGCGCTTTGGTCGGCGCTCTGGGATGGATCGGGCCTGGCGAGCTGGTTTTGGAACGCTTAGAGAACAGGTTTGGTGCTTCTGAGGTGATGGAGGTGTTGACTCGGGAGGCGGCCTGGCTCCCACCAGATGAGATTCCTAAGTGGATCCACACTACGTGGGAGAGTTGGACTGGCCTCAGTGCCGATGAGAGGCGGGCGGCTGGTCGCTGGGTAGAGCTGAATCCAGGCTGGCGCTACTATTTCTGGGACGATGGCGCCGTTCAGTATTTTCTGGGGCATCAGATGTCGAGCTCTGAGGAGAGGGATATGCTGAACGAGATGAAAAAGATCGAGGTCATGGACGTGTTTCGCTACGTCTTGATGGAGCGCCTCGGTGGTCTGTACTGCGACATAGATGTGGAGCCAGTGTTACCGATCGAACAATGGACAGATGTTGCCAGCCCGCGCCCACAGCTTGTCACTGGTTGGGAGTCTCGCTTCACCAACAGCAGTGAGAAGGATCTTGTTGGGTTCGCTCGCATGAGCCAGGTACAGCAGTGGCTTATCATGAGCGCCCCGCACCATCCAGTTCTTAAAGACGTGCTGGTCAGAATTAGCTCGCTTTTCAAAACGCACCTCACAGAGTTTGGAATCAAAGTCGCTGAGCGTTTGTCCACCGCCTGCCCCTACTATGTTCTAGGTCTAGTTGTCAGGGGCTGCCTTCCTTCTGGGAGGAGGAGGGGGAGGAGGAAGAGTGGGATGAGTAGGAGAATGTGAGAGCTACGGCTCGTGTGCGGCGCTGTGTGCGGCCACCCGTACGCGGAGCCCATTTTTGCATTCGGTGTGTCCTCCACAGCTCGTTCGACCGGGGATTGGGCAGAGTGAAGCGAGAGCCACTGGGAAATGATAATGATAGCCTGGAGGAGGAGGACATTGGGGGGGAGGCCTCACGGGTGGAACCGAAATCTAAAACATTGGATTCTCCGCGTGTGCCGGTCCAGCGCAGGCAGCAGCGACCAGGTGCGCGAGCCAACCTGTTTGTGGCATAGGTGTCGGGTCCCCCAGGCTCACCGGAGCAGTTTTTTCGCGTGCCAGATCGGATCGGATTGTGGCCAGGCCCCAGCCAGCATTGGCATCCACGGTCGGGTGTAGTTGTCTCGAGAGAATCAGGTTGGGCCCCAACACCCTAGGCCATTAGCAGGCACGGTTGACTCGAGGAGGGGGCTGTGGAGAGGGGAGGCGGAAGGACACGCGGAGGGGGGGTCAGGAGGAGCAACAGCGCAGAAGTTGGCAGACGAGTTTGTCACGGCGGGGCAGTGGTCTGGATCACCCGCAGTGTCTTGTCTATCCCGACCTAGGCAACCCGCATGTCCTTTGATGTTCTGGGGCCACGTTGCCGTCGGAAGAGTCTTGTATCCTCTCGGGTGTCCTGTCCAATCAAGTGCGACTGTAATTCAGGCGGGCTTGGGACAATGATAAATCGATCCAGAGCGGTCTGGAGCGCTCTTGGCGCGTCCTGGAGCGCTCCAGAACGGCCGCGGACCCAAATATTTTGTCGAGGTCGGTTCGGGGAGGGTATCCTAATGTTCGGGGAGGGTACCCTAATGTTCTTCGTGTTTGTTGGATGCTCTGCTCTTGTGCACCCTGGGGATGGAACCCTCGGATGGTTTGTGCGTGTTTGCTGGCGGAGGGTCTCGTGCTTTTGAGGCATGTTCTTCTGCCCCAGGTTCGACTCTACTCGGATCCAATCTCGGAGGCCTCTACTTCGCTTAACACCATCTTCGGATGTCTGGTGCTCCTTATTGCTTTACTGGGCCCAACGATAGCCATCGGGCCCGCCGCCCCCGCCCCTTCCCCCCCCCTCCGTCGGATATAGCTTGACCCTTTCGCTCATTGGAGGCCCTGGGCGTGGGCGCGATAGCCCGCACGTTATGTCGCTCGCAGGCGCACCCGCGGGCCCGTCGTGGCACTCGCAGCCCAGCGGCGATCACAAGACCGAGGTGCTCACAGGCGTGCTCCGATACTCACAGGAATGCTGTGGCGCTCGCAGACCGCTGGTCAGAGGAGGTCGTCGTCGTCGTCGTCGCACGACGTCGACGGCGAGGAGGATCTGTCCCGCAGTGTTTCTTGTGAGAGGGCTAACTCTTGCCCGCGCTCTTGAGATCCTTGGCGCTCCTCGCCGGGAACATGGGGAGCAGGAGCAAGAGCAGGGAGCAGGAGCAGGGAGCAGAACCAGGGTGACTTGCGAAAGCTGAAATGGTGAGAACCCGATTAACATAAGAAGATAGCAACTTCGATGTGTAACTTTCCCCCGCGATAATGAAGTTTGGCCTTGCCGCCCCTCTCCCCGGACCAAGTCTGTCTTGGCCGAGGAGAGTCAACTCTCAGGGAGGCATGGGGGGGTATGATTTATTTTCTGGGGTTCGCGGTTAGCTGGGCCGTCGGGTCAGACTGGAGTCCGTGACATCCGTCGCTTTGATATGTTCGGTGCGTGGGCCCCGGACCTCTTGACCCTTTCTCCAGATTGTCTACCGTGGTAGTTCTCTTAGGATGCAGGCAACTCCAGGGAGTTCAATTCAGCACCGTTGCTGATATATCCTTGGCCGAAAGCCAGCATGCTGCCGCCTGATCCGGCTTAATCCCGCCTAATCCGACTTAGTCCCGCTGAGTCCCGAGTCTTACCAGGCCAATCCAGCTTAATGGCTCCCTCGTCGGGCTCCATATGTTACAGAGACTTCCTAGAGATTGACGATGCCCGACCCTTGCCTCCACATTCGTCCAAGACGTTGGATGGTTGGGAACGGCGGCTCCACGCCCGGCCTGCCGAAGATCTTCGTGTTGCGAGTGCCTTTCCCCCGCCGCGCTCGCTCCGCGGCCGCTCTGTCATGTCTCTCTCTCTCTCTTTCTCTCTGTCTCTCTCTCCCTCTCTCTCTCTCTCTCCCTCTCGTGCTGCTGGACAACTAACTAGCATGCTTCGCCCCAACTACTGAAGCGCGCGAGCGGTATGCCCTTGCCGCGCCGCAACGGAAAAAAAGGTCCAGGAACGCCGCTCCGATCCCCGACACTCGAGCCTCGACCCCCCCACCCAGTGGGTGGGCGGTGGGCCGTCAGCGCGCAGCATATTCGGCGCTCTGGCCTCACCGCCTTTGTACCTGCAGGGCGCGTGGCGGCGTGCAGCAGCGGGCGGGCGCGGACATCGGCGCCCGTCTGTCCGTTGTGCGTCGCGTAATGGGGGGCGACACATGGGGGGCAGCGAGGGCTGCAGAACAAAAAGCCTTTCAGGGCCCAGGGGCCCGCTGTTAGGCCCGAGAAGTGCAACTTTCTTGCCCCCCCATTGATCGCGCCCCCCTGCGAGCGACGCTCAAGTCCGTCCGTCTGCCCAGTGGACGGGCCGGCGGATCGAGCTTGGCACCCTGGAGCTCACCGGCCCAGGCCCGTGGACGGACGCCGTGCTGGCGCACGTCGCGCCGCAGGGCGAGTTGAGCCCGCCGGCCGGGCACGGCGAGGGCAGCGCGAACGAGGCCGCGAACCCTCTTGGCAACTCTTCCTCCAGGGGCGGCAGGGAAACGACTGGGCACAGTCGGGCGCATGCGGAGGTCCACGGCGGATCCTTCGTGCTGGCATGGGACTCCCAAAGCCGAGGACGCTCAAGTGAGGACCGCTTCGGGCTCGGGAAAGGGGGGCCGTTTTCGGGACAGTCCTCGGGCCTAGGCCAGGGAGCCTAATCGTTACCAAGGCTCGCCGTGGCCAGAGAAACTCCTTGGCTCTTTACCCACCATTTTGGCGGAAAAACCCAGCGGCACAAAAAGGCGGTCGAAGAGGAGAAAGGGGAGGAGGGGGAGGAAAGGAAGCGGGGGGCTCGCAGCCCGCACACAGGCCGCCCGGATGCCGAACTCTGGCCCGCCGGCCCTGGTCACCGCATCAGGCGCGCACGCAGCGGCGCGCGCCAGTCGGCAGAGTTGCCGCCCGCGGCTGCAGCGCGGCGGCGCGACGCGGCGGCCCAGCTCGCGCACGGCGTCGCCGCAAGCCGCGGCCACGTGGGCGTGCCGGCCCCGCAGCACGCGCAGGCCGCCCTGCCGGGGCCCTGCGCGGCGGCATGCGGCTGCCAAGTCTGCCTTGCGAAGAGGGCGGCGCATGGGGCTTGCTGGGGGCCCGCCGAGGCGGCGCGCCGCAGCGGTGTCCTCGATGCCGCGCGCCCGCGAGCAGCGCCGCCAGCACCGCGGCTCGCAGAGCAGCGGCGGCGCGCCCCGCTGGGCGTGCCTCGCGGTCTGAGGTCGTCGCGCGAATTGCCGCCGCCGCGCCGCTGCCGCCGTCGCTCGCGCTGCCTGGCGGCGCCAGTGCTGCGGCAGCTGCAAGCGGAGGGCCTGCGGCCACGGCATTAGCTCGAGGATCTTCAGAAGTCAAGCAAGGGCGAAGCGGCATGGCTGGCCATCTTCTAAGTGCCAGGCCTATAGGAATGCTTGGACTGCCGGTTCCTCCTCAAAGAACGTGTGTTACACCAATGCGTGAGTTGCCCTATTCGGCTCCGCCGGTAGCATGCAATGCAGCTCGTGTCAGCCCTTGTTGCACCGCCTACGTCGCATGGGAGGGCTTCGGTGGACAAGCGCACGGTGGCGCTATGGCGCACGTTCTGAGGATCCTCGATGGGCGCTGCGGCCGGCGGGCGGCCAGGGGGGCACACCCGCGCTGTTGCGCTGCCTTTTCATCGAAGAAGAATCAATAACACAAACACGGACAGTCAACCTGCATATAGTGAAGATGAGAAGCTTCCAAGGTTACCCTTGCATCCTTCCCCCTCGGCCCATCCTTGGCCGCTTTCGCTGGCCGCGCCCCGCTCGCAAAATGTCGGCATGGCCTTCCTAGGCTCTTGTCGTGCATCCTTATGATACGGATTGACTGTATGTTTGTGAGGTCCGCGCGGGTCTCTTGGATCGGCGCTGGGTCCCGCCTGGTGACACTTCCAGCACCCCCCCTGGCGCGCTCCGCGCGCAAGGGGGGGTCCAGCGCCGATGCAAGAAAGCCGCACGGACCCCCAGGTCATGTTTCTGCGGTGTTGTGTTTTTTTGGGCATCCTACTCCCAGATCTTGGCACGCGCCCACGCATGGAGCGCCGCAGTGCTGACAAAAGTGGGGTCGGCGATCACCTCCACGAGGGCCGCTGTCACTCCCTCTCTGGGCCGTCTGGGGCCCGTCGACCGGCCCGCTGGTGTCCTGCACGCTGCTCGGGCCGTCGAGTCGCTCTCCCCAACCTGCCTTGGCCAAGAGCGGGCCCATCGGCCGATCGTAGACTCTCCTTGTCCACGTGCGGCTCCGTAGCGGGTGCTGCCGCGGGACGTGCAGTCCGGCGGGCAGCGGCGGCGCCCTTGGCCATCGGGTGGAGAACCAGTTCCCTTGGGAAGACCAGTTCTCGGCGGCAGAGCCGCGCGGAGGCCCTTCTGGCGAGAGCCCGTGCGGCGCAGAGCAACGTCCTGTGCATCCTGCCGGCACGTACACCGCCAGAAACGCCGCTCTGTGTCCTCGCCGGCCGTCTGGAATTGAGGCAACAGCGTCGGTTTGCCCCACTTGGCCGCTGCCGCTTGCGTGGCGACGCTGCCGGCGAGCACCGCGCGCAGCACGCCCGCCCAGCCTGGCGCGACTGCCCTGCCGCGAGCCAGCCTGCGCGAGGCCCGGCGGTCCACCCGTGCCGCGGGTTCCCGGCGATGTTCGAGGCACCTCGCCTCGGCTGGCCCAGGCCCGCCGTTGTGCGCATTCCCTCGCCGCAGGTCCGCTCGGCGGCGCGCCCAGGGGGGGGAGGGCAGAAGGGGCGGCCTTCTCGTCGACCGAGGAAGAAGATGACGTCACGAGCATAAACCGTCGGAGCTGCGCGTGGGTGCCTTGGATCCGCGCTGGGCCCCTCTGGCGGCGCCTCCGGCGCCGCCCCTGGCGCGCGGAGCGCGCCAGGGAGGGGGTTCAGCGTCGCTCCATGTTTTGCTTGAACCGTCTTCTTGTTCCTCTCACCCGGGCCTCCAAGATGGTGTTAAAGCAGATGGGATCAAAGGATCGCGCCGCATCGGCTGCCCGCGCCGCTCGCTGCTTGCGGTGTGGCGGCTGTCTCCTTGCCTGGCTGCTTAGCGTAGTCGAGGTTGGGTGTAGGTCCCGGTGCCATTCGCATGACGAATGGCGGGGCGTCCTCCTCGCCCTGAAGCAAGCGGGTCCTGAGGGAAGCGGGCCCTAGAGTCTTTCGCCGCTGATGGCTCCCTGGGGCCCTCCACGGGCCCTGGGACCGGCACACAACTGCTCCGGATTGAAAAGCTTATTCTGACGAAGGCCCCCGGCGTCCAGGACCCGTTTCCTTCAGGTCCCTGTTCTCTCGTCTCTCGTGTTAAGAGTAGCAGGGCGTTCTTCCTTCTTTTCCGCACGGTCCCGTGCCAGGGTGAGGCCAAGATTCCCGACAGAATGCCCTCCTGGTGCGCTCTGTTGCCGCCTCTCTCTCTCTGATGCTCTCTCGCCGCCTCTTGCGTTGCACGGCCTGGCACGCCTGATCATGGAGAACGGAACGGATGTCGACCCGCCCCCCTCATGGCGGACTCGCCCGCCGGGACGCCCGCGGCGCAACCAGTCACTAGCCCAACCGGCCCAGGCAGCGCCACGCTAGATGTGCATATGTGTTTTTATCGGTACTATTTATTATGAACAGCATTCGCATATTATCCGCATTCGGCTTCGTATTACAATCATAGTTTTATACATGTGTATTGTTATCGTTTTCGTTGAATCATTGGTATTTGTGTTATTTTAGTATCCGTATGCATATCATGTCTAGTTTTATTAGTTGTAGTATGAACAATATATATGTGTATATGAACATATGTGTATGTATGTATATATATATGTTTGCACAATCTGGATCGCAGGTGCTCCCTGCTCCCCCGCCACGCTGCTCCCACCGTGTGCGCGCGGGAGGAGAGTCGGCGCCACACGGCGAGCCGCGCGCGCTGCGAAAGCCCTCTTGTGCGAACAGCAAGGGGCGCCAAGTCAATTATGGTGGAGTCTTCGCCGCCCTCGCGCAAGCGCGCTCCCTGCCTTGCTCTTCCT